ACTCACCGTAAAGCTTCAGTCCTTCATGGAATAATGTAGCTTGTTTCATGAACAACAAACCAATCAGTGGCATATTCATACTGTTTCATTGTTGAATCCATTCAATCATGGTAATGTCAATATCTTCATTTTTATCCTCAGAAAATTTTCTGTTCTTCTTTAGTTCTGGTCATTGTCCCTGTAAAACTTCAACACTTTGTATTTCTATTACTTCAAGTCATGCTGTTGCTGTACGGAGCTCAGTCGTGTCTGACTCTTTGCGACCCCATGGACTGTAGCCCACCAGGCTCCTCTGTCCATGGGATTTCCCAGGCAAGAATACTAGAGTGGGTTGCCATTTCCTTCTTCAGGGGATCTTCCCAACCCAGGGATTGAACCTGCATCTCCTGCATTGGCAAGTGGATTTTTTTTTTTTTTTTTTAACCACTGAGCCACCCGGGAAGCCCAGTTCAAGTCATATGTGGTGTTAATTCCCACACTTTGCTCTTTAGTAAGATGTCTTATAGAAACACCTGATCAAATTTTGTATTAACTCTATTTTCTGTGCTATTGATATCACATGGTTCCTTTTCTACTGATTTTTATCCACAGGAGTATCTTCCATTTTCTGGACATTTTTACAGAATAATTAAATTCAAACTGACAAAATAACAACCATCTTAAAAAAAAAAGGCAAACATTTTATTAGTGAATAGCAGAGATGTCTGTGACTGGTAAGAGTGTTGAGAAACAACTAATGCCTCATGTCAGCTGAGACCAGGTTTTGCTTTCAACTTAGAAAAAAGGGTGGATTTTCAAAGCTTTTCAGATTTTGGAATTCCATATAAGATTTGGTGCTAAAGTAATATATTTAATCAGTCTCCTATTGATGGCATTTAGAATGTTTCAAGTATTTTGCAACCGCAAACAAGGTTGTAGTGAGTAACTTTGTACAAACATCATTTCACAAATATATTTGTAAAATAAAATCCTTGAAATGAAACAGCTGGGTCAAAGGATATATACATTGTAATTATGATAGACATTTGATAGATATTGTGTAGGGCCAAACTGCCCTACACAAAGGATTACCAATCTACACTCCCACTCTACACCTTTGCAAACACAATGTTTTATTAAAATGTTTCCTTTTATTTTGAAATAATTTCAAACTCAAAGAGAAGTTTCAATAGTACTTCAAGCATCATCTTTTCTCCATGCCCTTACCCCAAACCACTTGAAAGTAACTGATTTGATACCCTGAACTCATCCCTGAGTTCTGCAATCTATTTCTGGCAAACAAGGATATTCTTCTACTTACCTGCAACGTAACCATCAAGATCAGGAAATTTATATTGATATATTGCTACCATTTAAGAAGATATGACAAACTAAATGCAAAACGTGATCTTGTATAAACATGTGTAAAGATTTTATACTAGATCATGTGTTATGTTTGTCATGTCTCTTTAGCCTTTTGACAATTTGGAAAAATTCCTGAATCTTCCCTTGACACTCATGGCCTTGACATTTTTATAGATTAGACTAGTTATCTTATATAATGACCTTCAATTTGGATATGACTGACATTTCTGCAAGGAGATCCAACCAGTCCATCCTAAAGGAGATCAGTCCTGGGTGTTCATTGGAGGGACTGATGTTGAAGCTGAAACTCCCAATACTTGGGCCTCCTGATGCGGAGAGCTGACTCATTTGAAAAGACCCTGATGCTGGGAAAGATTGAGGGCAGGAGGAGAAGTGGACGACAGAGGATGAGATGGTTGGATGGTATCACCGACACAATGGACAGGGGTTTGGGTGGACTCTGGGAGTTGGTGGTGGACAGGGAGGCCTGGTGTGCTCCGGTTCATTGGTCGAGAAGAGTCGGACACGACTGAGTGACTGAACTAAACTGATGTTTCCTCATGATTAGATGCAGGTTTGCATTTTTGGTGAAGTGATACTGAATTCTGTTAAGTAATCCTGTTAAGTAATACATGATTTTGACTTAACCCATTATTCATGATATATCCATTGCCCCCAAAATTTCCTTGTAACCCTTGCTAATCCTTTCTTCCCTTTCATCCTAGCCTATACCAAATCCCACTCCCAGGAAACTGCTGATTTTTCTGTCACCGTAGTGTGGTGCTAGAATTTTATTTAAATGGAATAATACATATGCATCATTTTTCCTTTAGTCTGGCTTCTTTCAGTTAGCATAATTATTTTGATTCTTCCATGGTGTAATATGTATCAGTAGTTTGTTCCTTTTCATTACTGAGTAGTATTCCACTGTATGGTTGTTTCACAGTTTTTATCCATTCAGTCTACTCATGGATATATGGATCATTTCCAGTTTGGGGTTAAAAATAAAGCTGTTATGACACTCATGTTGAATTCTTTGTATGCATATATGCTTTCATTTCCTTTGGTTAATACCTATGAGTGGAATGGCAGGAGCATGTGTGCAGGTGTCTATTTAACTTTTTAAGAAACTGACAAATGGTTTACCAAAGTGGTTGTACAACTTATGTTCCAACCTGCAATGTATGAGAGCTTCAGTTGCTCTATATCCATGCCAGTCTTATTAAAATTGCTTTTTGTCTTTAAATTTTTAGCCTTTCTCTTATTGTTTTTTTAATTTTTAAAAATTTATTTATTTTTTAATTGAAGGATAATTGCTTTACAGAATTTTGTTGGTTTCTGCCAACATCAACATGAATCAGCCATAGGTATACATATATCCCCTCCCTTTTGAACTTCAAGATGTTATTACAATGATAACTTAAAAAATTTCAACTTCTGACTGTTCATTGCTGGAATATTGAAATACTATTGATTTTTGTATATTAATCTTATATCCTGAAACATTGTTAAAGTTATTAGTTCTAAACATTTTTTGTAGGTTCCATAGGATTTTCTACATAGACAATCATGTCATCAGAGTTTTGCTTCTTCCTTTCTAATCTGAGTATCGTATAGTTCTGTTAAGTGTCTTATTGTACTGGCTAAAATCAACAGTTTGATACTGAAACAAGAGGTGAAAGTAAACAGCTTTGCCTTTTTCTTTTCTTTTTTAAAAAATTTTAACATTTAATTTTTTTGCCCCACCAGGTGGCATGTGGGATCTTAGTTCCCCAACCAGGGATTGAAACTTCTGTAGTGGAAGCTCAGAGTCTTAAGCACTGTATAGCCAGGAAAGTCCATGCCTTGTTCTTGATGTTAGGAAGAAAATATTCAATCTTTTACCATTAAGTATAAGGGCAGTTGTAAGAGAGATGCCCTTTATCATGTGGGGAAGTTCCCTTCTATTCCTAGTTTGTTGAGAATTTTAATGTTTTTAGTAGGAATAAATGTTGGATTTTATTAGGTGCTTTTTCCATACTGAGATGATCATATGGGTATTCTTTTTTACTCTATTAGTATGGTGAAATACAGTGATTGATTTTTGAATGTTTTAAACCAGCTGTGTATTCTTGGAGGTAAACCCTACTTATTATGATGTATTATCATTAAAAAAATATATTTTTTGGATTCAATCTCTTAAAATTTTTATTAAGAGTTTGTGCACCTTTGTGCTTGTGAGAGTTTTCTTCTGAGTTTTTGTTTGTTTTTGCTTTTGGCTGTGCAATGTGGCATGTGGGATCTTAGTTACCAGAACCAGGGATTGAACCTATAAATCCTGCAGTGGAAAAAAAAAATCCTGCAGTGGAAGCACAATGTCCTAACCACTGGACTGCCAGGGAATTCCCTGGGTTTTCTTTTTTATAGTTTTTGTCTGTGTTAGGTAAAACGGAGGAAGTCTTGATCAGGCTTCAGAAGCAGCAGAACAGGCCTCTGACCTTTCTTCTGACCAATCTGGACACTGCCCAGATTCTGTGCCTGCCTGCAAGCACAGCAAGTCAGGCACCACTTTAAATAAGAGAAGAATTGGGTCCTGAAATTCTTGACAGCCTGGAGGTCTGGCCAACTGTGCCCAAGTGAAAGTGAAAGTGTTAGTCACTTAAGTCATGTCTGGCTCTTTGCGACTCCATGGACTGTAGCCCACCAGGTTCCTGTCCATGGAGTTCTTCAGGCAAGAATACTGGAGCGGGCTGCCATTTCCTTCTCCAAGGGAACTTCCCAACTCAGGGATCAAACCCGGGTCTCCTGCATTACAGGCAGATGATTTATCGTCTGAGCCACCAGGCAAGCCCAAATCCTAAGACTCACAAGATAAAACAACAGCAGTGTAAAAAGTTTAAAGTAAAACCAGAGTTGCATTTTTTGCACCAAACTTATGATACCAGTTTGCAGCCTGTGATTATAAGTAGGAACCTCCCAAACTGCAATTTGCAGTCTGACCTGTGGAGGGGAAACACTGCCCGGGACCTTTTCCCAACTGGGACTCCAGACTGCTGTTACTTGGGACTTCCCAGCATGCTGTTTAGGTCCGGATTTGGGGCAGCCCAATTTGGTGATATATGTGCTGTTACTCTTCTCTATTGTTTCTACTTCTCTATTCTGTTAATGATTGTATACTGAAATTAAGTAATCCTCTGTTAAATACTGAAATTGTTTATTTGTGTGTAATGGGGGGTTTCTTTTGTTAACAAATTCTTTGAACCGGAAACAAAGCTAAAGCTTTCAGCAAAATAGCTTGATTTTGGTATCTGGATAATGATGATTTCACAGACTGAGTTAGGAAGTATTTCCTCCTCTTCAATTTTCTGCAAGAGTTTATATAGAATTGTTATGTTTTCCTTAAATGTTTGGTAGAATTTACCAGTGAAGCCATTTAGCCCTGGAGTTTCTTTGTGGAAAGATTTTTAACTACTAATTCAATTTCTCTGAACTTCATTTCTATTTATTCTTTTCTTTTTACTGTGGTAAAATAGACATAAATTTACCATTTTGAGCACTTAAGGGTATAATTCAGTGACATTAAGTACATTCACATTGTTGTGCAAACATCACCATTATCTAGTTCCAGAACTTTTACATCATCTGAAATTCTATACTCATTATATAGTAACTTCTCCTTTCCCTCTCCTCTCTATTCTACTTCCTGCTCTACGAGTTTTTCCTCTAGTCTATATGCTAGCTCTATAAATGTATGATATTGTGGCCACATTATTAAAATGATATCTGCCAGGTTTACCTACTCTATGGTAATTATACTTCTTCCTTTTATGACTGATAAATATTAATACTTTGTAGAGAGATACTATGTACAGTACTATGTACAGTAAGTCCCCTACACATGAACCTTCAAGTTTGAACTTTCAAAGATAGAAATGTGCATTCCATCAACATTAGGTGTGAGTGAAATTTCTGCTTGTCCTCTGTCTCCTATTGCTGATCATGCTTCAGCTCTGCCATCTCCTATCTCCTCTCCTACCTCCAGTTTGTACTCTTCTTGCTGGTTCACTTGATGCCAGCCCCTGTATGCCAGCTGCTGAACTGTACATACTACCGTACTTTTTAAGGTATTGTAGTGTAAGATTGAAAATGTTTTATTTTTTGTTTTCTTAGTATTACTGTATGAAAAGTATAAATCTATTACAGTACAGTACTATATAACTAGTGGTGTTAGTTGGGTACCTAGGCTAACTTTGTTGGACTTACGAACAAATTTGACTTATGAATGTGTTCTTGAAATGGAACACGTTCATATGTAGGGGACTTACTGTAAATATCCTGTTTCTCATCAAATGTTCAACCATTATCTTAGTATCTACTGCTATTTTTTCACTGTGGCTATTCTAGGTACCTCATATAAGTGAAATCATACAATGTTTTGTCTTTTTGTGTCTGGTTTATTTCACTTAATGTTTTCAAGGCTCATCCATGTTGTAGCATGTATTAGAACTTCATTCCTTTTTATGGCTAAATAATATTCCATTGTGTGTATATATATATATATATATATATATACTACAGTTTGTTTATCCATTCATCTGCTGACAGATACTCAAGTTATTTACAACTTTTGGCAAATGTGAATAATGCCACTATTAATATTGATGTACAAATATCTGTTTAAGTCCATGTTTTCAATTCTTTTGGGTATATGCCTACCTAATTCTTATTTATTCTTGAGTCAGCTTTGGTAGTTTGTATCCATCAAGAAATCAGTCTATTTCATTTATATTGTTGAATTTATTAGTATAAAGTTGTCTTTAGAATTTGTTGTGATGTCACTTTTCCCATTCTTAAAACTGCTACTTTGTTTTCTCCTTTTCTCTTGATCAGTCTGGACAAAGATTTCAATTTTATATATCTTTTCAAAGAAACAGCTTTTTGTTTCATTGATTTTCAGTTTTTCTATATTTTATTTGATTTCTGCTCTGATCTGTATTATTTTCTTTCTTTTACTTATTTTAGGTTTCATTTGCTCTTCTTCTCTGGGTTCTTATGTTAGAATCTGAGATTGCCGATTTGAAACCTTTCTTCTTTTCAGACATAGGTTTTTTTTTTTTTTTCCATTTATTTTTATTAGTTGGAGGCTAATTACTTTACATCATTGCAGTGGTTTTTGTCATACATTGAAATGAATTAGCCATGGATTTACATGTATTCCCCATCCCGGTCCCCCCTCCCACCTCCCTCTCCACCCGATCCCTCTGGGTCTTCCCAGTGCACCAGGCCCGAGCACTTGTCTCATGCACCCAACCTGGGCTGGTGATCTGTTTCACCCTAGATAATATACATGTTTCGATGCTGTTCTCTTGAAACATCCCACCCTCGCCTTCTCCCAGAGTCCACAAGTCTGTTCTATACATCTGAGTCTCTTTTTCTGTTTTGCATATAGGGTTATCGTTACCATCTTTCTAAATTCCATATATATGTGTTAGTATACTGTAATGGTCTTTATCTTTCTGGCTTACTTCGCTCTGTATAATGGGCTCCAGTTTCATCCATCTCATTAGAACTGATTCAAATGAATTCTTTTTAATGGCTGAGTAATATTCCATGGTGTATATGTACCACAGCTTCCTCATCCATTCGTCTGCTGATGGGCATCTAGGTTGCTTCCATGTCCTGGCTATTATAAACAGTGCTGCGATGAACATTGGGGTGCACGTGTCTCTTTCAGATCTGGTTTCCTCGGTGTGTATGCCCAGAAGTGGGATTGCTGGGTCATATGGCAGTTCTATTTCCAGCTTTTTAAGAAATCTCCACACTGTTTTCCATAGTGGCTGTACTAATTTGCATTCCCACCAACAGTGTAAGAGGGTTCCCTTTTCTCCACACCCTCTCCAGCATTTATTGCTTGTAGACTTTTGGATAGCAGCCATCCTGACTGGCGTGTAATGGTACCTCATTGTGGTTTTGATTTGCATTTCTCTGATAATGAGTGATGTTGAGCATCTTTTCATGTGTTTGTTAGCCATCTGTATGTCTTCTTTGGAGAAATGTCTGTTTAGTTCTTTGGCCCATTTTTTGATTGGGTCATTTATTTTTCTGGAGTTGAGCTGGAGGAGTTGCTTGTATATTTTTGAGATTAATCCTTTTCAGACATAGGTATTAAGTGCTAAAAATTTCCCTCTAAGTAAAGCTTTAGCTCTAATCCACAAATTTTTAAATACTGTACTTTTTCATTCAGTTTAAAATATTTTCTATTAATATTTTTTCATGTTTTTCTCCTTTGTTCAGTGAGTTACATGGAAGTGTACAGTTTAATTTCTAAAACTTTAGTGGATTTTTATTATTGATTTCTAATTCAACTGTGGTTATCTGGAAAAGATTTTTATTTCAGCTTTTTAAAAAATTTATTTATTTTAATTGGAGGCTAATTACTTTACAATATTGTAGTGATTTTTGCCATACATTGATATGAATCAGCCATGGGTGCACATGTGTCCCCCATCCTGAACCCTCCTCCCTCTTCCCTCCCCATCCTATTTCAGCTTTTTTTTAAACATAATTTTATTTATTTATTTTTTTAAACATCATTTTATTTTATTGGCCATGCCACATGGCATGTGGGATCTTAGTTCTTCGACCAGGTATTGAACCCATGCTACCTGCAGTGGAAGTATGCAGTCCTAACCACTGGACTGCCAGGAAATTCCTTTTACCTTTTTTTTTTTGGAAAGATATTTTCACTGGTATAGAATTCTAGGTAAAAATTTTTTTTAAAAGAGTAATTTAAAGATTTTTCTCCACTGTCTTCTGGCTTATACTGCTTCTAATGAGAAACCTGCTCTCATACTTATCGTTTATCCTTAGTATATAGTGTGTATTTTTTTCCCTGCAGTTGTTTTAAGTAAGATTTTTCTCTTTAATCCCTGGTTTTAAGCAATTTGATTATGATGTGCCTTGGTATAATTTTCTTCATATTTCTTATGCTTGAGTTTCAGTAAGCATCTTAAATCTGTGTTATCCTTATCCTGCTTGGAATCTGACACTCCATGATAGGCCACTGCCACTCCCACTTCCCATATGGATGTCTAGTGTCAAATTTATTATTTTTGCCAATAAGATTTATGAAAAATGTTATCTCAGAGTCATTTTAATTTGTATTTATCAAGTGAGGCCAGGCATTTTTAATTGTTTAAAAGTCATTTGTATCTTCTTTTCTGTAAACTGCCTGATCATATTTGTTCAATTTTTTTTACTGTTTTTTAAAAATAATTTTTATATTGATTTATCTGTATCTTTTACCTTTTCTACAATAAGCATACATTCTTTTTACTATAAGAAGACAAGACATAGAGTTATTTTAAATTTAAAAAAGTGCTTTAAAAAACCCATGTAATTTCTTGGTATCGGAAAAATACTTACAATCCATGGCAGCTAGTATTTTATTATAACTTCTCTGGGGCTTATTTTTGCTTCTCTTTGTGATGAGATCTACATAGTTAACATGGAGGATGTGATTAAAAACCTGAGTCACTCTGGACTGTCTTGTTTTTTTGACCAGGGGCCCTAGAAAAATCATAAACTCTCATATCTGAGATTTGGAGCTCCATCACTTCACTGGATCTTCCAATGGTCCTGGGAAGCTGACAGGTCATTGACAATGATCCCCATTTTATAGATTTCTAAACCAGAGGCTTAGAAATGTAAAGTGACTTTATCATATGGAAGGTTAGATTTAGAAGTTACCTTAAAGATGATCTATTCTCTGTTCTCAGAGTCCTACAACTAGTAACTATGGCAAAACTCTGACTTGGACTCAGGTGTTTACTATAATAGGCAGTAATCAAAGTGAGGATCCCTACCACTCTAAGTGCTTAAGGGAAGTCCAATAGCTTCTCTTCTTCAGGAGACTCAGGCTAAGCCTTTGGTAGGTCATGACCAGGCAGGCATACTGGGGGTGCTGGAACCTTACATCTATCTATGCTCACCTTTGGCAGCAGTCAGCATGGTGGAGGCCAGTTCACACTGCTGTGATTCCAAGTGTCCAAGCGTGAACCAGCGAGGGTAACGGCTGGGCACCACAGATACCATATGGTGAGGGTGGGAAGTGTCGCCTGCAGAAGTTGAGTTTTCTAGAACAGGTAACCTAGAAGACCCAGGGAGAGTCATCAGCTACCACCCAGACCCTTGCCATTCTGAGCCACCTTAGAGAAGCTTGTTCTTTGCTGGGGAGGAACTGGGAAGGAAAGGGTTAATGAAGAACCTCAAAGGTTTTAAAACCTATGGGTACTGTACTTTATATGAGGTGAGTGCCTGGGCACTTGGAAGAACTCAAGCTGAACAGTTCTTACTGAAAACAGTTAAAAAGTCATAAGATTATTTGTTAAAGTATAAAAAATATATGCCAAGTACAAGTAATCCTCAGCAGTCAAGCTGAGGAGCTCTCTCAGCCTTATAGTCTAACTTAAATTCTTCTGTATGTTCTGCTGCATCCTAGAAGACTACCTGCCTGAACCAAGGATTCTACTCTTGTTTAGAGACAGGATGCCCATAGCTCATTGTTCTCAAGTCTTGATATAGAAAGACTTACTTCTACTTCCCCAGATGTATCTGGTGACCTATGCCCGGGAACCATTTCTCAGTTAGATATGGAAGGGCTCAAACCCTTTGTGAAGCTGCCAAACCAGCCCTGGAACAAAGAGACTCAGGCCTTAGATACTCTGTATCTGTTAAAATCTCAGAGACTTCTTCAACTCACTGAGAATGCAGCCAGGGAACATGTATGTCACTAGCTAGGAGTCCTAGATCATATGAAAATATCTGAACCATTTTAGGGCAGGCCAATGGCAGGTCCAATAGAACACAGAAAGAGGAAAAGAAAAGAAAGTGAGACAAACAAAGAGACTTCTGCTTTGGTGGAGGCATTTGGCCTGGGAAAAGGCTACCCACCTCATGGCACGTAAGGCTAATTTATAGGACAGGTCTGGATCATGAGGCAGCAGAGCTGAGAACAAATACTTGGCAAAGGTGTGCATGGGAACACTCTCTCGGTGGATGACTTCTCCCAGACCGCTGAAGGGGCCTCCTGCAGGAAGGAGATAAACCAGCCAGTTGTTTATCTGTATGCTTTTATTTGCCTGTCTGAACTTGAGCTCCAGGGATCCCACAAGTGTTTGCTAGCCATGGGAACCTTCATTACACTTTAAAGTTTAAATGTTGCTGTACCTGTGCTCTGTGACAGAGGGTAACTTAGAGTCAAATGCCTAAGACTTTGTGCCAACAGTCCCTTCTCTACTTACCTTCTAGTAGTAAGATGCACTGTTTCTGCAGCGTTTGCACTAGTTCATCATCCAGCTGCAGCTCCTGGAGTCGACTCAGGAGTTGCTCCTCATTACGGCACACCTTGTCCTGTGCATAGAGGCCTTCAGGCATCACTCTCTGTTGACCCATGCCCATCAGAGCAACTTCCATGGCCAGTGACAGGTAGGACTCACTGCTGTTTGGGCAGCCTGCAGCCACAGGCACATGCTGGTACACAGGGGGTCTGCTTTCATTCATATCTGAGGACAACAGGGCACCAGATTTTTTAGGTCAGGCCCCATGGATTTTTGTGCCTCTCCCACCAATGCACACTTTGGGATACAGCTTGGCCAATAACTAACACAAAGAAGCTAAATCAAAACCAGAACAGTAATATACTGAAAATGAAAAATAAAAATATACTAAAAAATGTTATACATGGTTCTAAAGATTAACTCCTTCCTAAAATAGTTAAACTATTACTTTGTGATATTTGCAACTTTAATGTTATTGTTACTTTTTATGCTCCACCTTTGGGTTCTAAGGTTCAGGAGGAGAGCACAGATCTAAAAGCCAGAGTCTTAATTTCCTTCCTTTCTCCCATTATCCATCTGGTAAATGTTTAAGGGAGACTATTAAAAGAGAGTTATTGCCCTAAGTGCTGTTTTCAGGAACTTGAAAGGCTAGTAGAGACACTTGTAAACAAATTTTTCAGCAGTGTGCTAAATACCATAATATGTGCATGTTTACAATACAGTGATAGCATAAAGGAAAAAAGAATCAATTTTGTCTCAAGTCCCTGTTAATTTGAGACTCTACTAAATTACCTCCCTTTTATTTCTCTTTTGTAAAATTGGTACAAAACCACCACCAGGGAGAATGTTCAAGGGAAACATGAGAGTATTATGTAATTGCAAGAGATACACACATTGCTGATGCAAGTTCTTTTACACTTCCAGATCATTCTGAGGACCTGGCCTCTGACTTCTCAAATCCCTCTGGCCCTTTTTGTTCCCTTTGGATTACTCTTCAGACATTCACAAGGTAGGGAAGTGAGAGGAGCAAAGGAAAGCTGAGGCTGGCAAGGTAAAATGGGTGAACAGGACAGAGCCAGTCCACAGGGTGGGGAAGGAAGATAAGAAAGGAGCAATCCTAAGGAAACCACTCAGAGGAGGTCCAGTTTAGATAAGAGAACAAGAGGGGTAAAACAGACTCTGTCATGGAAAAGAAGAGGGCTCAGAAGGGTAGTCTGGGCTTCCCTCAGGCTGACCCCTGTACCTGACACTTCCAGATAGCCATCATCATTCAGGCGGCAGGCCTCAGTCAAGGTGAGAAACAGGCAGCCAATCGGATCCAGGGGATGGCCCACCCAGCCTTCTAGGTTTGTGATGGTTGTGGTTCCCCTCTGCAACAGTTCTGGAAATAAGCAGGTCAAAGTTTTTGAGAGGGATAGAGACACACTGCTCTCTGTCTCTGCTTGGTCTCTTCATAAGTCTCCTCATCAGTCTCCCTCAGGTGGTGGCCCTGACTCAAAGTAAAGCTTGCCTTGGGTTGAGGAGACTGGTCACCAGCTCATCAGTCACTGTGAGGCCATGTGGTATGCATTTAGGCTGCCTGCCGATAGCACACTATGTAGACACAGCCTTACAGTTTAAAAAGGGTCTTCTCATACCAGATCTCAGTGGATCCAACTGTCCTGTGCAAGAAGCAGGTTAGCATTATTACTCCCATTTTACAAATAAGAAAACTGAGATTTATCGAGGTAAAGAGAGAGATTCCACACAGAAGGTAGAATGACCTAGAATCCCCTAGCCCCTGCCACACCAGGAAACTGAATGAAAATTAAGTCCTGGGCCTTGTAGTCCCTGAGAACCCCGTCAGCCTAAGGAGTTGAGATGGCTCCTGATCACTATACCTTTCTTCTGATGCTTGTAGATTTCCAGTTGGCGCTGCTGCTGCAACCTGAGAGTATTGATAATGGCCACTGTGAGTCTGAGGGCCTCTTTTGGGTAACCATGGGAACGCAGGGCATCAACCCGAGCACAGGCTGTAGGCACATGCTCTATTAGATGAGAAGAAGATATTTTGATTGAGTTAAATTTTCAATTCAGGAAAATTTGTGTTTGACAAAGGGAGACTGTATTCAGTTCAGGTCCTCAAATCTGATCTGACATCTATTGTGTACCAGAAATTGTATTTTACCTTTTAGGGATATAAAGTTGAATAAGTCACAGGTACTACCTCCAAGGAGATACACTGCAGCCTCAGTGTAGTGGTTTGGTGTAGAAAGGGGCAAAGAACTAGGATAATAAAATGTTATACCTCTTTCTGAACATGAGCCTCAGGAACCTAATGCAGCAATAAACTGCTTTTATAGAGGGAAAGGCCTCACTTGTTTATTAATCCTGTTTCCTGAGAACCTATTATGTGCCAGGTAGCATGCTGGACAAAGCAACTACAAAAATGTATAAGAAACGGTCACTGTCCTCAAAGAGCTCACAAATGATACATAAAAAGATCATTATAAAACAGTTAAAAAGAAATGACATGATAGAAATATACACAGAAAGAAAATATTTGAGCTATGTGCTTTGTAGGGCAAGTAATATTTTAAATAGGTAGACAAACAGGGATAGGCATTCCTGGCAAAGAAAACATAAATAAAAGCATGTAAGTAAAAGCATAAAAAGTATTCTAGATAACATCTTCAGAGTATGGCAAATAGTTCTAGAGTTAGGTTATGTGGCTGGAGATAGCCTGGAAAGGTAGAGTCTGGAATGTTAAGAGATTTGAATGCTATTCTAAGAAGTTTGGATTTACCTTAAGCATAATGGATGACTACCAAACACTTATAAATGGGGAAGGAATTAAAAATTATAGAAATAATTATAGAAAATACAGATAAAATAGAAAATAAAAAGCAGAGATAACCATTATTTCTAATTTCATATTTTTATGAAAAATGTGTATCTCTAGACTTTAATTAATTTTAATAAAAATGGGGTATTATAATTATTGTTTTATAACTAGGTTTTTCCACTTAATAATACATTGTAAATATTTTTCCATATCATTAAATATACTTCCATAATATTAAAGATGATTACATATCATTCCACTAAATATGTGTACTATCCATTGGCTCAATCAGTCCCCTATTGTTGGAAATTATACTGTTTTTAATTCTTCTCATCTATATGTTATATGTTCATGCTCTAATAAACCCATAACCTTATTCACATTCTTAGTTAATTACAGCTCAGGATAAATTCCTAGATGTAGAATTCCTGGATCAATGAATTTATTTTAAATTATTTATTAATTTATTTTAATTATTAATTTATTTATATATAATACTTAGGAGTATATCTACCTAAAGAAACAAAAGACCTATACATAGAAAACTACAAAACACTGATGAAAGAAATCAAATAGGACACAAATAGATGGAGAAATATACCGTGTTCATGGATTGGAAGAATCAATATTGTGAAAATGAGTATACTACCCAAAGCAATCTATAGATTCAATGCAATCCCTATCAAGCTACCAGCGGTATTCTTCACAGAACTAGAACAAATAATTTCATAATTTGTATGGAAATACAAAAAACCTCGAATAGCCAAAGCATCTTGAGAAAGAAGAATGGAACTGGAGGAATCAACCTGCCTGACTTCAGGCTCTACTACAAAGCCACAGTCATCAAGACAGTATGGTACTGGCATAAAGACAGAAATACAAATCAATGGAATAAAACAGAAAGCCCAGAGATAAATCCACATACCTACGGACACCTTATCTTCAACAAAGGAGGCAAGAATATACAATGGAAAAAAGACAACCTCTTTAACAAGTGGTGCTGGGAAAACTGGTCAACCACTTGTAAAAGAATGAAACTAGAACACTTTCTAACACTATTTATGAATTTATTTTAAAAGCTTTTGATAAGTGTTGTTGAAATGCAGTATTTACATTCCTACCAGTAATATATGAGATTACTATCTCCAATGTAGCCTCTCCTACAACAAAACCAGTTATTTTTATTTTTAAAAATTCCTGACTATTTGACAACTGAAACATGATAATTCAGTGTAGTTTTTTTTTTTTTTCAGTGTTGTTTTGATTTGGATCTTTGTTTATAATGGGGTGTATGTTTTTCACACACTTGTTAGATTTATGTTTTAAAAGTACTAGATCAGAGAAGAAGAAAAATAATCAGTAGGAATCTCGGGTAGTGACCTTCAGTGACTTTGGCTAAAAACTTTAAGAGAGAGACAGGCATAAATCCAGATTCAGCAGGATCTTGTGAAAGACAAAGATATGGGGTGAGGGACAGAGGTAGGGAATTAGGAGATGATAATAAAAATGTATGCTGTTGTTTTAAGATTCAGAGAATGAATATTATTTTATAAGTGTGTAGTGTGGAATATGCATTCTGTAATAAAGTCAAGAACAGACTCACAGAAGGCCAGAGGAGAGTTTAAACTCATGATGGAACAGCTTTATTCTGTGATGATAAAGGAAGGAATGAGGAAAGGAAGATAGCTTGGTGACAAAGGCAGGCAGTGTCTGAGCTACTAGTACAGAGCAATTTAAGTTTCAAAGTTCATGCCTTTTTAGCAAAACATGTAATTTCAGAGTAGATTCTAATGTTGCTCAGTAACTGCTGACTAAGAGTCTATGAACTGATATCTAACGGTTTTGTTAGTACTCCAGATTTATTAGCTCCTTTTCCCTCCCCAAACTCAGGAAACAATAGAAATCCCTCTGTTTGAGATTACTGTACTTCAGCTGAGAACATATACAAATGGCTCAGGCTATACCCTGAGGCCCTAGTCAGGGCCCCAAAAGATCTGGATGAAGACTGTCCAAAGGGTGGTTGTGTTGCTGGTACCTATGTAGATGGCTCACTCAGGCCTGACATGAGGTGAGACTGGGCTCTAAAATTCTTAGAGTAGAATAAGTACACTTACCAAGCCACAGTGGCTGGCCTTGGGAATTAAAGAGTAGCCTCTCACTTTCCCGCTGGCAGGCAGGAGCTGTATATACATCACTGCTGATGATTCGCTGTAAGTGGCTGTCCTGCCAATGCAATTCACGGCCCTCGATGGCTCTAGTGAACACTGTCCGTCTTGGTCTGGATAAAGAATCTGGGGAAGGGAAAAAGAAAGCAGCAGTTCAGTGATGGGTAATCTGAAGATCTAACTCCTGTGTCTTCTTTAGGATGGGAGGACAGGCAGAATAATAGTGTATAGTTAGTGAGAGCAGCCACTCTGCCATTTGTCTGGGTGTTCATTGTGTTGCTTCTTTATTGGATAGATTTTAGTGTGTCCCTGCCCTCTATGGGAAGAACATTTCTACATAGATCTATGACCGAAGACCAATTTCTCCTAGGACCCAGAGCTACATGAGAGAGAGGAAGGATAGTGATGCTCGGCCGCTCAATTATAAGGACTCAAACTGCTTCTACAGAGGACAAAGGAAAAGACAAGCAGTGAGGTAATATCCTTGGTCAACCCATAACCAGTTTCTTTTACAGTATGACCCATATCAGACTAAGTACTTCTGTCACATTGATATAAAAGCTGAAAAAGAGCTGCAGTCCTGTGTATTCTGGTATCTTTAATTTTTAAAATAAGTTTATTTCTTTATTCATTTTCTTTTGGCTGTGCTGGATCTTCATTGCTGTGTGGGCTTTTCTCCGGTTGTGGCAAGCAGAGGGTACTCTCCAGCTGTGGTGAGCAGGCTTCTCATTGTGGTGGCTTCTCTTATTGTGGAGCACAGGCTCTAGGCACTCGCATTTCATTAGTCACAGCACAGGGGCTCACTAGTTGTGGCTCTTGGGCTCTAGAGAACAGGCTCAGTAGTGTGGCGCACAGGCTTAGCTGCTCTGCGGCATGTGGGATCTTCCTGGATCAGGGATTGAACCAGTGTCCCCTGCATTGGCAGGTGGATTCCCCACCACTGAGCCACCAGGGTAAGCCCTCTGGTATCTTTATCACACTAGTATCTGCAGGGTTACAACCTTGTTCTCCAATAAGAAAACCTGAGGCTGACAAAAGATTAATTAAATTGTTTTCTCACTGGAGTTCTACCAAACCATCTCTCTTCAGGAAAAGGGCTGAAGGGAAACAGCAGACAAAGTAAGCTCAATTCTTTAGGGTGGTGTGTAGGAGCTGACTCATTAGAAAAGACCTTGATGCTGGGAAAGATTGAAGGCAGGAGGAGAATGGGACAACAGAGGACGAGATGGTCAGATGGCATCACCGACTCAATGGACATCAGTTGGAGCAAGCTGCAGATGGTGAAGGACAGGGAAGCCTGGCATGCTGCAGTCCATGGGGTCGCAAAGAGTTGGACATGACTGAGCGGCTGAACAATGACAAAATACTGGAGTCGGTTGCCATTTCCTTCTCCAGGGGATCTTCCTGACCTAGGGATCGAACCTGGGTCTCCTGGATTTCAGGCAGATTCTTTACCATCTGAGCCACATGGGCTTTAATAAGGGAACATCTGAACAGAGACCTGAAGGAACTAAAGATCAAGTCTCAGACATAATTAAGGAAAGTACGTTCTAGGCAAAATGAACAGCAAGTGCTAAGCTGAGGTGGGAACATATTTGAAGTGTTTGAGGGCAGGGCAGAGGCCAGTGTACCTAGAACAGAATGAGCAAGCCAGAAAGTCACAGGAGATGAGGTCAGAGAGATACTAGGGAATCAGATCATGCAGGGCCTTTTAGGCCATGAGGAAAGATGAGAAGCTACTGGAGGGCTTTGAGCTGTTAAAGGTGTGTGATCTGACTTGACAACTGGCAGCAGCATAGAGAACAGACTTTAAGGTAGAAGCAGTTAGGTCACTGCAATAATTTGGGAAAGATAATGGTAATTTGTTCAGAGTAATATGCAGTAGAGGCGATGAGAGTAAATGAACTTTGGATGTGTTCTAAAGGCAAAGGTAATAGGATTTGCCCATGGATTAGATCTGGGAAATCTGGGTAAGAAAGAGAAGAATCAAGAATGACTTTAAGGTTTTTAAGGTAGACTTGCCACATAAGAAGATAGGGAAGACTACACAAGAGGAACAGGTTTGGGTGGGGCTTGAGAGGTAAGAAATCCTACTGAGATGTCTATTAATATCTAAGAGGCAATATCGAAAAGGTAGTTAAACATGTAAGTCTGGAGTTGAGAGGAAAATTTTGGGCAGGAGATATAAATCTGAATGTTGTCAGTGTATAGATGATTATTAAAACAATGCAATTATCAGGGGAGTGAATACAGAAAAAGAAGTGGTTTGATGACTGAGCCCTGGGTACTCTAGAATTTTAGGTTGGAAAGTGGTGGGGAGACTGTAAAGGAGACTGAGAAGGAGGATCCAATGAAGAGGAGAACCAAGAGAGTATGTTTGCAGGGTAGTGATTATAATGATGTACCAAGGAATCTAACCTGGATAAGGAAGAAAATGAGGCTGCCACAAGAATGAAAAAGTGACAGGATCAAAATTCCTAGTGGGTCCAGGAATTACTGGAATAGGCATAACAGAGAAAATAATCTAGTAAGGCTGGTGGTGGTAATTAGAGCTGCTTGAAATTGTGATTGTAAAGAAGGGTCAGTATATTGGTAATGAAAGGGTTCAGGGTATGACCTTGGGGTTGCATGGCTAAGTTATGTAGAAGATAGACTATTGGTACTTCCCTGGTGGTACAGTGGTTAAGAAACCACTTGCCAATGCAGGGGACATGAGTTTGATGCCTGGCTGGGGAAGACCCCACATGCCTGAGAGCAGCTAAGCCTGTGCACTACAACTACTGAAGCCCAAGAACCCAAGAGTGGATGCTCTACAACCAGAGAAGCCATCACAGTGTGAAGCCTGTGCACTGCAACTAGAGAGCAGCCTCCACTCATCACAACTAGAGAAACCCCGCACATGGCAATGAAGAGAAGGCATAGCCAAAAATTAACACACATACACAAAAGATGGACTATTAAAAGAGAGGAGGTCAAAGAACTCAGAGGCTTGAATACTGGAAGTATCATCTATGTGGCTATATTAAATGATCAAGAATTACAACAGAAGTAGGGACAGAGAGTAGTGTTAGTGAGCCAACTGCCAAAACTCTTCAAGGAATGAGGGGTATTAACCCAGAGGTAAAAATGACCAAAACCAGGAGCGTAGCAGACAGCATATTTTAACAGCATCAACTTTAAAACTGTGTGATATAACTGTGGGGTATTTTAGGAAGGAGGGTAGGATAATGATGTAGAAATGGCAATGAAGAGTAAGCAGGATGCCTACTGCTCCATCAGGCCCAAAGGTAAACTTACATGAGTGATAAGTCAGTCATGGCCTGAGAAAACTGAACAGAAAACAATACCCTCAAATAAGAACCAGTAACAAGTGTTTTGGAACAAGAGAAGCCACCATAATGAGAAGCCTGCACAGGTGTCCCTGCTCACCACAACTGGATAATGCCTATGTGCAGCAATGAAGACCCAGCACTGCAAAAAAAAAGGGGGTGGGGGCGGAAGAGTAACAACAAATAACCAAAATAATATACAAGAAAGAAACTGCCAGACTGGAGGCATGTGTTTATATGCAGCATTTGATTATCTCTATGCCAATCCAAAGCCAATACTAAAAGCATGAATTCCTATGTTGTGGAGGTTAGATAAGCTACCCAGGAAAGGGAAGCTTCATGTGGCGAAGTTGTAGCCTTTTCATCTCTCATTACCTTGGTTGCCTTAAATACACTGATAATCAATTATGGAACAGTAGATGAAGACCAAGCAAGAACAATAATTTAAGTGATTTCCTCCTTGAGGTTAAAAATATCAGTAGATTTATCACTTACAATAAAAGGGAAGACATGTAAAATCAATGTTTGATAAAATCTACCACTTTCCTGGTGGCTCAGAAGTTAAAGTGTCTGCCTGCAATGAGGGAGGCCCGGGTTCTATCCCAGGGTCCGGAAGATCCCCTGGAGAAGGAAATGGCAACCCACTCCAGTATTCTTGCCTGTAGAATCCCATGGACGGAGGAGCCTGGTGGGCTACAGTTCACCGGGTCACAAAGAGTCGGACACGACTGAGTGACTTCACTTTCACTTTTCACCAGTAAAGGATCCCCATGGGCTAAAGAGCAATCAATTGCTAGCAGGACATGGCCTGAGTTAGATGAACTAAAGCTGATGTGATGCTGATGCCCAGTAATATCTGGTCAGTGGGCTCAAAAGGCAGAGGGTACAGTATCACTGTACTGAATTTATCTTAAAATGAGGCAAGAGTAAGTAGTATCTTGGAAGCATGGCCCCTGCCTCCTCCCACCAGATATCTGCTATATAAAAATTTGAGGAAAACAGAGAAAAGTAATCAAAGCAGCTGTCAGGACATTTTTTAAAGTTTTTTTTTTTCCCCCTGCAGGTATTCCATCTTTCCCTTGAGCTAAGTCTTCTGAGATAAAACCAACCCCAATGGGGGCCAAGATCCATGAGTCATGAAGAACTTGAAGGGTAAAGAGGATTCATGCAGAGGGTTCTAGGAATTTATGCTGGGCACTGTAAGGACACACCTAGAGTAGAAAAGGACAGCATCCCCAATGTCAAAGATAAAAAGCTTGCCCTTATTTAAGGTTTAGCATTTCAAGATAAACAAAGGACAGGCTTTTCTTATTTAGGATGACAATTCTGACAGTCCAAAAGTTGTCCAGCCACCTTCGTTCTAGGGCTTTAACCTCTGACCTCTGGAGTTCCAGGCACTGAGACTCTAGAATGACATCTGGCTCACCTGAACTGTGACTGGCATTCTGGGGAAGTGCATTGGTGATGTTGGGCAGCTCATGCCCATAGTTCCCATCCTCCAGGGGACAGACATCCAGGTCATTCCATTTCTGCAGTTGCTGCAGCCAACAGGATTTTTCTTCCAGCTTGCAATGTGGATTTAAAATGATGCACACCCATAAGGCCCCTGGAAAAGAAAGCAACCACATCCTTGACATTTTTCCTTTGATGTATGTCTAAGCCTTAATTTTTCAGTTTACTCTTTTCTTCTATTTTTAGTTGGTAGGAAAAGTTTCCAAAACATCAATTCTCAATATAAAAAACCAAATCTGCTAAAGATTTCAGAAATGCTTATTTTTCCTTCCCAAAGGTTTCTTAAAGCAGAGTAGCTATCTTGATATCTGGGTATGTGCCTGTGTTTGATGAACAACATAGATTTGGACTTGAATTCTGAGCTCAAATCTGCAGTCCAACAAACATTTATTGAGAACTTTCTTGTTCAAGAGTTTGTATTGGAGAATAAGACACTGTTCCTATTCTTGAGGAGCTCTCCAGTAGGGGAAGACAGAAAAATAAACACAGTATCATTTGAATATGATAAGCGTTAAGATAAAGATATGTTCAGGGTATGATTATAGCACAGAGCAAGAACATTTACTCTAAGAAGGAAGGTGCTCAGAAAAGGATTTAATTTTTGGTTAGTTGATCTTGGGCTTTCTGAGCTTTAAATTCCTCAACTGTAAAACAGATCATAATGTAGAGAGCCTGGCATATTACTTGGCATGTAGTGGAATTATATTTCCTTCTTCCAGGGAAAATAATTTATTTGGACTTGGATTTTGATACTGTTGATCAGCTATGATGCCTTAAAACTATCATATTCTTGGATCCTCTCTGTCACTATAGCAGAGTATCACATATTCTACATTACCAGTAAGTACTATTTCTTTGGTCACATTACCCTTCCTTTGAAGCAAACCTGCTTCCTCTTTTCAAAGCTGGTTATGTGGCTGAGCCAGAAATATTCTCAATCCCAAGTTAACAATAAAACCTGGCTGCAGAGTGTCTTAAGTTAAACATCCTTTGGGATGGAGCTACATCTATGGATGGAGGTATATTCAGACACTATTTCAAGACCCCTTAAAGTCAAATAAGAATGTTTTAAAAGACCATTTAAGCCTCAATTTCAGGTACTAACTAGAAGATAAAAATTCATTTCTATAGGTTCAAATAAGTTTTTCAAATCCACAATGAAAAAGAAACTATACTATATAATATTGTAGTATTAAATATTACATAATGATGGCTCTTAAGAGGATTATAGTTAGGAGTAAATTGAGTGACTCCTAACTTATAATAATTGTAACCCAGGTGGCTCAGTGGTAAAGACTCCACCTCCCAATGCAGGAGAAAAAGGAGAGGCAGGTTTGATCCCTGAGTTGGGAAGATCCCCTGGAGAAGAAAATGACAACCCACTCCAGTCTTCTCACATGGAAAATCCCATGGACAGAGGAGCCTGGTGGGCTACAATCCATAGGCTCACAAAGAGTTAGACACTACTGAGTGACTGAGCACACACATACACATATAATAATAATTATAATAAAGCACAGTAGATACTATTATAGCCATATAAAAAGTGTTATGAGATTAGGTATGATGGAACAATTAACTCTGTACATGGGGTCAGGAAAGGTTACAACATTTGCATTTGTCCTTAAAGAATAAACATGAGTTAATTCTAGTTAAAAGTGACTAACTAAACATGTATGTTTATCACCACTCCCTCTTGATATTAAAACAAAAGTGGAGAGATAAAAACAGGCATAAATGTTCAAGGTAGTTCACTACCTGCTCACTCCCTCTCCTGGAAGAAAACCAGAGCTTTACTCACTGGAAAGACTGCTTCACAGAAGCTCTGGATTGGGAATACTACACAAAGCTGAGGGTAGGTTTTCCAGACTAAAAACTGAGGGATTAAGAAAAATATACATATGGAACAAATGAACACCCCCAACCGCACCATGCAGTCCTCTTTCCCCGCTTGGTTCTGAGTAGACTGTGGTGATCTTATAATTGAGACATTGTGTTCATGTCCTAGTGTTTTGTGGAAGGTAGAACTTGTGAGTAATAAGATTAGCTGAGGAAATACCTAAGCAAAGTGTTGAAGGAGCAGCCTGGTTCCTTAGCATAAAATGCAAGAAGAAAGAAATGATTTAAAGACAGAACTGTTCATCAAAAAAGAAGTAAAACTTAAAGATCTGGAACATTCTCAGCCTATGCACATTGAAAAGAATGAGAAACGGTGTTTGGGAAAGAACCCTAAGAGTGTGACCTTATGAGAGGTAAATCCTCATCTTTCATTGTAGGAAGAAAAAGAGAACATCTATAATTTTAAAAATTAAGAAAGAACAGTCATTTAGAAATGTGGAAGCATATTAGAAAAAGCAGCTAAAAGAATTAAAAATTGCTCTTTCTAAGAAGTAGGAACTGATAATGTAAAGGAATATGGCAGAGCAATACTGCTTTTTATTCTAAAGTCTGTAGAACCATTTGACATTTTAACCTGTGTACATGTATTACTTCATTTTAAAAGAAGAACAAGAGATAAATAGGAGTTGTTTAAGCATAGAAATGGCAGGAGAGTATGTACCAAAACAGGGGGAAGGACATAAGTGAAAGCAAAAATGCTGAGACGTCATTGTAGTCTCTGAATATTTGCAGTCTATTGGATGTTTTTTCCTTTTGGTAGAAAATTTTTGTAATCTAGGATGTCAGCTTTTAATACTATTGGGATTGTGAGTTCCTATTGATAAAAGTGTCCTTTCTGAACACCAGGTGGCAAGAAATCCTTAATATACAGGAAGTAAAAAATCTTGAACAGTGTGGCAGTAAGAAAGATGCACAAATATTCAGATCATAAAAGTTACTTTCTCAACTTTTAGAATTTAAGAATCCTAAAGGCCTGTATAAACCTCATGAAAAAAATTGTTTTCTTCACAAAGTAGTTCTTCTCCTATGGTGTCTGTGTTATACTGTTTGCTGGTTCTTGTAAAATTAATGTAGAGATAGGGTATGGTCAATTTTATTGGAAACTGCTAAGAGGTCAAGTAAAGTAACAAAAGAGAAGAGCAATATGGCAGACACTGGTGGTTTTAACCAGAGCTACTTATCAGTAGAGTGACAGCAATGAGCAATGGAAGACTGCAGTGGGCTCAAGACAGCATATGGAGGTAAGCAAATGCAAAGAAGGACGAGGTTTTCAAGAAGTGTTGTTCTGAAGGAAAAAAGAGAAAATATGTAAAGACTGATGCTCTGAAGGCTTATTTCAAATTCTTAAAAAACATGCACTTTTGGGGAAAACAGTACATAACGAGATGAGATTGAGGGAGATGTTGCACAAGGATGCTTGATTTGGAGTTGGACAGGTTGGGGCTCCAGTGTTAGAGCCACCACCTGCTAGTGTGTGACTTTGAACAAAAAACTTTCTGAGCTCCAGTTTTCTCACCTAAACATACGGAGATGCTGATGTCTTCCCCTTGAAGGGTCCATGCCTACAATCCCTTCTGAGGGAAGCTGTTTCCAAGTTGCCATGCACTGTGTTACATGACCCTGGTCACAACTGGTTGGACCAGTAAGTTCAGATTAATAGTTCAACATTCCTGTACTTTGGAAAATGTGATTGTGTCAGAGAGACAGTTTTCTATACTTCTTTATTTCATTCTGTATCCAGAAGTAACCAGAGGTGTCTGTTTCTTTGCAATAAACACACAATTACTTCATAGGTTTGATATAAGAATTAAACATGCATACAGTCTTTAACACAGAGACTGGCACATAATGCTCAATAATGTAGCTGTTCATTATTAATGAAAACTCCAAAGCTATAGTGCCTCAGGTGATACGAAGCCCCAGCACTCAAACCAAAACTCCACACTTACCAGCCCCAAAGTAACCATGTAAAGTCCGAATCATTAAGCCTCATCCCCCAAAGCTTTTAGCTCTAAGACTATAATGTATTAATATATCCTTTGGGGAATTCACTAAAATCCTAAGTTATAGAGGTTTTTTGGTGCTATTTTGTACAATAGGAAAGTTTGTCATTGCTTTCTGGGGTGGAGAAAGTACGGAGAAGCAATATTAGAAATTTCAGAATATGCCATAGACAACTTTCCTAGTATAACCCCAAAGTGGGGCCGTGACTGGATTGTAAGTTCAGAGTATGAAGGATTCTGCAAACAGGGCGGGGAGTTGAGTATCACCACTGCAAAACTGTCATTGAAATGGGAACAATGAAGATAAATAATGACTAAAGAAGATGGCCTTAATGACAAGAATCTTGAACAAAGAGCCCATTCAGGAGGCCATAGGTCTAATTTAATCTAAAAGTCCCACGGCCCTCAACCAGACCAGTTATGACAAGAAATAAAAAGTGTGAATGGACACTAAATTGCATTTTAAAGGTCAAGGAATCAAATTATATTGGTGACTGGATGTAGCAAATGAAACAAAAATGAGTGCTTGACAGTAAGTTTCGTCGAACAAGAAATGGTGGTGCCAATGCCAGCTTCAAGGGAATCTTTCTTCATAGAAGGCCTGATTTCATTTTTTAATTTCTCGAGTTTGAGGTGATTAGGAGATTTTTTTTCAGTAGAAATGGTCATAGGGCAGCAGCTAATACGAGACTGGAAATGAGATAATCGAAAGAGGATGAGTAAGAGATCACCACAGAGGTAACACTGAGGTCATGATACTAAAAAAAAAGTTCTCAAAGGCCTGGAAAAGGTCAGTTTTCATTCCAATCCCAAAGAAAGGCAATGCCAAAGAATGTTCAAACTACCACACATTTGCACTCATCTCACATGCTAGCAAAGTAATGCTCAAAATTCTCCAAGCCAGACTTCAACAGTACATGAACCATGAACTTCCAGACGTTCAAGCTGGATTTAGAAAAGGCAGAGAGAAAAAAAAACAAAGAAAAGACAGAGGAACCAGAGATAAAATTGCCAACATCCACTGGATCATAGAAAAAGCAAGAAAGTTTCAGAAAAAAATCTACTTCTGCTTTATTGATTACACCAAAGCCTTTGACTGTGTGGATCACAAAAAGCTGTGGAAAATTCTGAAAGAGATGGGAACACCAGACCACCTGACCTGCTTCTTGAAAAATCTGTATACAGGTCAAGAAGCAACAGTTAGACATGGAACAACAGACCAGTTCCAAATTGGGAAAGGAGTATGTCAAGGCTGTATATTGTCACCCTGCTTATTTAACTTGTATGCAGAGTACATCATGAGAAATGCTGGGCTGGATGAAGCATAGCTGGAATCGAGACTGCTGGAAGAAATATCAATAACCTCAGATAAGCAGATGACACCACCCTATGACAGAAAGCGAAGAAGAACTAAAGAGCCTCTTGATGAAAGTGAAAGAGGAGAGTTAAAAAGTTGGCTTAAAGCTCAACATTCAGAAAACTAAGATCATGGCATCTGGTCCCATTACTTCATGGCAACTAGATGGGGAAACAATAGAAACAGTGACAGACTTTATTTTTTGGGGGCTCCAAAATCACTGCAGATGGTGACTGCAGCCATGAAATTAAAAGATACTTGCTCCTTGGAAGAAAGGCTATGACCAACCTAAACAGCATATTAAAAAGCAGAGACATTAGTTTGCCAACAAAGGTCTGTCTAGTCTAGTCAAAGCTATGGCTTTTCCAGTAGTCATGTATGGATGTGAGAGTTGGCGTATAAAGAAAGCTGAGCGCTGGAAAATTGATACTTTTGAAGTGTGGTGTTGGAGAAGACTCTTGAGGGTTCCTTGGACTGCAAGGAGATCCAACCAGTCTACCCTAAAGGAAATCAGTCCTGAATATTCATTGGAAGGACTGAAATTGAAGCTGAAACTCCAATACTTTGGCCACCTGATGTGA